GATGTTCTTCTCTCCCTTGTCCCTACTAACTGTGATTTTATTGAATTGCTGTTTAGAATGTCCTTCTCTTCCAACCTCAATCACTACGGGATGGTCCACGTAGCTAGCGTGAGTGATGTACTGCTAGACAATTCATTCACTCCACCGTGCCAGCGGATGGGTGGAATGGTCTCCTTCCGCACATTTGAAGATTTTGTCAGGTATGTGGGGCAGCGTGACGGTTATTTGTGTTGCCGGCTTCCTAGGTGGGCCCAAATGGAACTGGACAAAATCTTTGCCTTGTCTAGAGTCGGGTTTAAACTGCTCCTGAGCTGGTTTGCTAAGTTCGTGGAGTTTCAGGTGGAAGTTTGTTTGGATCCCTTTGACTGTCTCCTTGGGATAACTGAATGTTTCAGGCTGCTCTAAGAGCAGTTTGCAGGCAGAAGGATCAGCATCTTGAATTTCTGCTGATTGGAGATCGTTTGGAAATGTGCTGATTTCTTCTAACGCTCTTGTTTATGCGCATAGATGTGGGAGGATGTGTCCTTTATGCTTTCAGCCTTCTAGAGCGGGCAAAAAACCCCCCAGCAGAGCCCATAGCAGTCGTGGGGGCCTGCAACCATAAGGTCTCTGACACGTGTCAGAAGATCCAGGCTCTGCTTTGGTTTGAGGGGTGGAGGAGGTGTTGCCTCCTCACCTTTTGAGTTCCAGTCCTGCGAAGGGAAGGAGTCTTTCTCTCCCTGCCCCCCTCAGCAACATGATTTGTGGATCTCGGTGCTGTGTGCTTCCAGTGGGCCAGCAGCCGTGTGCTGGTGACTAATACTTCTCTGGTGTATTTCAGGATCTTTGATGAAGTGATGGGTTGCTTCTGCGACTCTCCTCCCCAGAGCCCAACCTTCCCTGAAGCTGGCCATGCTTCCTTGTATGATGAAGACAAGGTACGGTACTTTTTGTCTTTTGAGATTGCTCTCGGGCTGGAAATAGGAGGCGTGCAGAATGCCGCAGTGACTGCAGGCTAGGTGCTTTTCACTGCTTCGAGTGCTGGAAGCAGGAGTTAAGAGCTTCGTGTATTTATGTATGTGGTTTGTTTGCTTGTTCCACAGCAGGTGATTCAAAGTAGGTGGCCGTTTTCTGACTCTGTTCTAAAACCACGGCTACGTCTCTTGCTCTGCGTGTAAATTTAGTTTGTAGCTTTTAATATCAGCAGAATTAGTAGATCTACAGTGGCATAACTGGGGGTTTAGACGCACAATTAAGTTTCCAGACCTCCTCTGTGCCTCGGGGTGTTGAACTGCATATTCAGCTGCCTTTACCTTAAGTCTGACTTGCCTTAATTTCTGTCTTACGCCCTTCCCAGTCATGTTACATTCTGATTCTTCCCTCCATTCTACCTCTTAAAACTGTTTTTAGGAGGAAAACGAGAGGAACCCCCCAATTTTTGCACTGATACGGAGAACAGGTGCAGAGGGAGCAGACAGTTTATAATCCTTAGTGACAGAAGACCAGTTTCCCTTAGACACACAGGTAGCTGCTCCACTGCTCTGTCCTGCCCCCCAACAGTGGGAAGCTCTGTTGGAATACAGTCTGTGTCCAGAACAGGGCTTGGTTTTAAACTGGTCCATTGATCTCGATGTGTGTGAGTGCTGTAGCCTTGCTCCAGCATACTGCCCTCAACCTTAGTGTCCTCAGATCTCTCACTTTACCTCCCCCTCGCTTCACCGCAGATAATTTCCTCTTCATACTCAGTTTTTCACAGTTAACCACAGGCACTTAAATGCTAAATTTGTCATTTCTGAGCTCTGATGTAATTGATGCTTCCACATCATTTCGTTTTGTTGTAGATAGGAAAACACACGTTGTTTTGCTGCTTCCCTTTGAATGTGCTCAATTTCATTACCTTTCTTGATGCCAAAGTCCTCTAATGCCTTGCCTGTACTGCATCTTGTAAAGAGAGGACCTGACCCTACAGTCTTTCCGCATCCAAATGGGACACACTTGAGTTAGCGCAGTCAGATGTGACCTTCAGAACTGGATTCTCCAAATGAAGCTCCCGTTTGCTGTTTGTGGACATTAACTCTTCTGTGAAACTGCAAATCTGGGAGGCTGCTTGGTCAAGGATTTCCCTCACAGTTTTCCTCGGTTTACAGCATGCTTGGCTGGGGGCCTTTTTCCCTAGGGCATCTGTATTTTAGGCTTGCATTTAGCAGCCTCTTTTGAGAACTCACAAGTGATAAGTTGTTAACTGTTTATTTATGGGGAATATTTTCATTAAATTGCAGACCGCTCGGGAGGAGCCCATTCACATTCTTAATGTTGCTATTAAAACAGACAGTGACGTTGATGATGATGGGCTGGCAGCCATGTTCAGAGAGTTCACACAAAGCAAGGTAAGTTGCCTTGATTCTCTCTCTGGAACTGTGTGGTTGTGCAAGCAGGACAGTTCTGTCTGCTTTGGGAAAAGCCAGTATGTTCCTCAGTGTTTTGTTTGTTTCAGAACAAATAAACGATCAGTTACGTGCTTAGTTTATCCCACCTAAAACTTTACCACTTCTTTAACTGGATGTAGCGGCACCTTTCTGAAGCCTCCAGGTCATCGCTTCTCTTTGGAGTGCGTTCTAATCCCACGGGTCAGGACTTCGTCCCTTTAATTTTTGATGGGGTAAAAGACCTTTAAGGTTTTAAACTCATCAGGTCAATCTTCAGTGTCTGTCTCCAGGTGCTCTGAGAAAACGTGCTGTATCCCTCTCCCTGGTGCTAAAAGTTGTTATAGGAGTAACAGGGGCGTGGAAGGTGACATTAAAATGGCTGTATTTTCTGTATCATGGTAGTAAATGGAATTGAAATGAGTTCTCCTCGTTGTCGACATGCTGGAGCATCCACCTAGTGTGATATTTGTGGCACAAGGTGGAATTGATTTGGTATGTTCTGTCGCTCCTTCGTAAGGATGGGGTGCGCTTTAGAGTACCAAGTGTCAGTCCTGTGGTCACTTGTGAGACCACGTGGGTTGGGCTGGGTTGGGGCCAGCCTCCTCGTGTCCGCTGTGCCCTCTGGCGTCTGCCTGCGCTTGCTTTTCTGGATGGTGTGAAGAATTCCTCAGCTGCCTTGTGGGTGAACAGCCCATCAGGCACGGGGACGCTGCTGCATCCGTGGTACCCGCAATGAACCGAGCGAGCGGTTTCTGACTTCATTTCCCAGTGTGGGAGGTGGTAATGCGTTCTGCAGAAATGAGGGGTTCCAAACTGGGGCTGGTATCCGTGCGACTTCAACAGCTTCCTGCCTCTTTAAGCAAAGAAAATAACCAAATATAAAAATTAAAACTAGTTCTGCTTCTCATCTGCTTGATCGTGCTCCAGGCGTTTTATGGGAGGGGATAAAAGGAAATAAATAAATAAAAAAAAAATATTCCAAAACACATTAAACTATCAAATAGGTTGATCCAAATTGTCCAAATAATCTTCTAGTCCCAGCATGTTGTGTGTGGTTTTTTTAATAGAAATTAGGATCATATACTTGTAAATGACTTGTGGAGGAGATTGAGGCAGTCAGTGTAAATGGAGTTTCTCCAGGTGCTGATGGCTAATCGCTCTGTAATAGCTGTGGACTTGCTGTGAGACCCACATTATTACGATGTAATCAGAATCCTGTTGCTATGCTGTTATTGTCTGCCACTTGTGGAATTTTAAAAGCAATAACAATTTTTGCTTTTTAAATCATGGCATTATTAAAGTTATTTTCTTCCTCTTGCCATGAATATAGTCACTGATGCTCATTTTCAGAGGGCTTAACCTTAGTAAAACATTTCAGTCTGTGCCAAAAGGGGTTGTTTTGTTCCTGATCTCGTTGAGTTCTTGTTTCTTTTTTGTTGTTCTTTTTCTTTTTTTTTTTTTTTCCCCCCCTTTGCTTTTAAATTGGAAAAAGGATGAGAAAGGAAGAAGTTTTAGAAAGAGGAGCAGAATGATGAGATCTTAACACTTTAAAAGGTCGGTGGTGTGGCAGATACTGATGGCAGCACTTACTTGAGATGTGGCTTAGTGGAATTTGATAAAGAAGCAAGCAGAATGAATATTCTCTCATCTATTTGAAAAAACTAAGTAACACCCATCATTTATCACCTTTGCAATATGGACACATCTCTGCTTTGGTCAGGGTTGCCTGTGTGCTTATTGTGCCAAGATCAAGCATGTGCTACATGCTTCCTCGGGTTAGTTCCTTTAAAACTCATTTTCCATGGCCTTACCATGTCTTCGCTGCGCTCCCTTCAAGAAGGAATCTCTGTGAAAAAGACCAACTTGCTTTGGCAAATGAACAAGAATATTTCCTGCAAGACTTGTACCTGACTCTCTGCTGTACTTGTTAGCAGAGCTCAGCTGGAATGCTGTGTTCTTGTGATTTGGTTACTTACCTCTTCAGATTTAATGTGTTTGCTGGTGTGTGCTACTAGACGATGATCAGATGAGAAGGCTTAGCTGTGAGCGGACTGAAGCGGAGGAGGACCTTACAGCGTAGATGCAGGAGGATCTGTAGAGCTTTTTCAGTTCTTAGAAGATTTCGACATGTTCTTTTTCTGTTAATCCAGTCACCTGATTCCATGCTTGCCTTTTTACAGAAATCAGTCCTGATTGAACATGGGATTCGGAGGCTGACTTTCCTTGTAGCCCAAAAGGTATTTTGATATCTCTCATGTTGCTCGGACTCTTCGGTCTCTAGCTCATAATTGCATTGCCATTTGATGTGTTTTTCCCCGATTAAATGCTGTATTAACTATATTTAGTTCTTCACTGGTTTTGTTCTCTAAAATTGGAGATGGTTTTCATGAATTCACTTAAGAAAATTAATTTACAATTGTAAACAATCGTGGCATCTCTTGTATTCTTGAATTAATTAATTTTTGATTTCATCCTAATTGCTAGCTTTCTTCTGCTTTTTTTTTCTTGTCTTCCTGTGTATGTTTCGTTTGTAAGGACTTCAGGAAACAGGTCAACTATGAGGTGGATCAGAGATTTCATGTAAGTAAAAAGGGCCTAGAACACAGTGCTATTCTTGACTTGAGGCCAGGAGGCACGTAAGTGACTCTAGGCTTCTCCTTTGGTTCTTAGTCAGGCATTTAATGCCAATGTTGGTGTCAGAGTCAAGCAAAGTACTTAAACATCTAACTTCACATACAGGAGTGGGCCTCTTGCGTTCAGTGGGACCATTCCCCTGCTAAAGTCTCTCTTGTTACTTGGCTGAGCTCATGACTGCCACATTAATAAAGATCTTGTTTGTTTCGGTATTGTTTTATGTGCTAAAATATAATTCTGCAATTAAATTCTTGTATTTCTTATGTGGTGTGGTGATTTCTTGAGGTTTCTTACTGATTTCAAAATCACTTAGAGGAGTAATTGAAGTGACTTGCTAAATTTCACATAATGACTTAGTGATGTGGAAAACACTTGGTGCTCTTACTGCTAGGAATTCTTTCCCCAGGGCCTGGGCATCAGCGAGGGCTAGTTAGCCCTTATTTTCAAGGTGGCAGTGTAAGGCGTGAACCAGACTTTTATCCCTTCTGCATCTGCTTTACAAGTCTGGAAGTTATTAGGAATCTTGAAAGTGCAAGAGGTTCATCCTGTGCTCAAGGCACCTGGCTTAGCAAGCTTTACGAAGGGAAAACTGGTTTATAAATAGCAAAACCAGTACTTGAACAAAGGCGAGTATCACCACGGGAGAATTGCTGCGCGCGGTGTAGGCGCAAACACGTATCCATCAAGGGCTTGGGAAGCCGCTCTTCGGGGAGAGGTTGAGAGCTTAAGCAGGAAAGTCCAGGCTTCGGATTCGAAGAAAGGAAGTTTGAGAGAACGGAATTGATATTTGGGAAATGAAAAAAAGCGCTGTAGTGTGTGGCAGGGCCAGAAAGGAGGCAAAGGCTCAAAGGAGGCATTACAAAAAAGTTTTCCCTGAGCTGCCGTTCGGAGCGATGGACTGTTAGGATGCTCCTAGTTCCTAAGCCAGAGGGGGCAGCATGGTGTGTCATCTGTTCGTGAAGTTTGTAGAGTACCTCTGGGGTCTTCTGTGAGTGTCAGTCTTTATGACTGGCTCCTATTCTACTCTGTTTATTACTGGACCGACTATTATCTTAGCCAGGGCCTGGGCTTGGGTTTGTTTTTTGTTTTAATTACAGTCTATATAATTAGTTCCCAGCATGTTGAGGTAATAGAGAGTTGCTCCAGCAAGCTTCCAATTTCCTCATCTCATTAGGTTTTTAACATGATTATTAGTATAATAATCAACTATGATGATTTCTGTTGTAGCTTTTCGCATTCTGGGGTTTGCAGGGTGTCTTGATTGGCTAATTTAGGCAAATTATTTTGATTGTCTTGATGATGGTTGGTTGATTAGAACACAGCAGGGGTATAATTCTTCTGCCTAGGAAATGGAGGGCTCTTTTGGATTTTGGTACCAGAGCACTGAGAATTTTTGTGTGTGTGCACATCTAATTATTATATTTGCCCACAACACTAGTCAGATGCCTTGGAAGCAATTAATCGGAATAGCATGGCTGATGTTAGGAGAATTTGGCAGCGTGCAGAGAAGGACAGGTGGGAGGGATTTGGAAGAGAGGTGAGGAAACATGGTTGTTTTCTTAGGGTATGGTTGATGCTTATACGCTCACCTAATATGCCCGTTGCCTGAATTTTCTGGCAAGGTTTCTTGTACCACCAGCTAATCTGGAGGACACACTCCAGGCAAACACAAGTTATTTTGCTCAACTGAGAGTCGTCCGGTGAGGTTCTGGGGACTGGTTTTTTTAGTAGGAGATAAGGAAGATGACTAGCTAGAAGATTACTTCTAGCCTTAAAAGCTATGTTGCTCAGTGGAGCCTTATACCTTGTCACCAGGCACTGGTTGTTGCACTGAATCAAGCTAGGGTTGCAAGTCCTTCGTTGATAGTGGAATGTGATTCAGAAAATCCCTGACTCCAGCTCAGATTCCTTCTTTTCTTTCTCAGTAAGACAGTCCTGACAAGTTGTGTACGCTCTCTCAGGTCACCTTTAGCACAAATGGCTGGGGTTCTCCTGTTGGTGCAAAGCATTCACAAAAGTTCCTCCACCCGGTAAAAGTGTGATTCCGCAGAAACGGGTAGCTTTGCTCAGATGAAACTGGAGGGAGCGGTAGGAGGATGCTGTCTAGTCTTTCTCCCTTCTTCGAAGGCACGTGCAATATGCCGCAGAAAAGTAGGGCCGTAACCATTTGCTAGGATTTTGTCTGTGCAGTAGAATAACAGAGAAACCTAATCATATTTGGGGGATTTTTGTAGAGTGCCATTTAATACATGAGGCTAAAGTTATTTGATTACAATTCATAGTTTTCCTTGGGAAGAGAGTATTTCTAGCAGTAATAGTATGAAGAGAACTGTAGAATACAGATCATTGTTTTGTGTACGTCTGCTTATATAATGGAGTGTTAATACCATTGTATGGCTCCCAAGCATTTCCACAGTAATCATAATCATAATAGAACTAGAAGCTTCCAACTACTGTCTGGACAGTTCCGTGTTATTGTCTGTTAATAATTGACAGTAACAATCAGAAACCAATCAAGTAGCCTCCGTTGCATTAGCAGTGAAGACAGGTTTAAACTACCTCTGCTGCCTCCTTGAGGGTAACTTGATTTTCCACCGCCCTTTGTGATGTTGAAAAAGTAGCTTGTAGCAACTCCTGTCATCTCCTCTGCTGTGGGGCTACCCCAGGTCTGGCCTGTGAGCACGCTCTGGGTAGATCAAGTGCCTTACTTCATTGTTTTTGTTTTCAAACAGAGGGAATTTCCAAAGTTCTTCACGTTCCGTGCCCGGGATAAGGTAAGTTGTATGTTCTTAAAACTTTTCTCTTAAGTGTTGGCTTTATCCTTGTCTGTTCCTTGCCAGTCTAAGAGGGCGGGAGCTACTTCAGCCCAACTTCACTGCCTAGCGCGATCTTTTCTCCTCCCTCGCTAGGTCGGTCGTCTGCGCACGCAGCAACTGACGTCAGTAACGATGATGAGTCTCTGATATTTGGGGATAAAAATCCATGTATTTGGAAGCCTGACCTGAAGCTTCTCTTTATGCAGATTTTAGTCGCGGTGTAACAAGGGAGCGTTGGAAGCAGCACAGCAACTCAGTACCAAACTTTCTGGCTGCTGTGGAAAAGACAGGGGGGTGTGGGGGGGGTGTGCAGCGGTGAGCTTGACAACTTGCTGTCTTGCAATTTGTCTTCTGCTCTCAGTATTTCTACAGTTTCGACGCAGCTCTTAGTGCTAATGAATCTGCGCGACACAGACAAGTTGGGGTTGGATTCATTTGGATTTTTAGGTTTTTAATTAAATATGAAATTTCATAGGGGATGTTTTCTAGTTCTTCCCATCCTCAGTGTTTCAGCTTCCTAACCCATCCTCCTCTTTTACGCCCTTTTCTGCCTGTACGATGCTGGGGTGCCTCCAGTTTGAGGAAGACAGGATTTATCGTCATCTAGAGCCAGCTCTGGCTTTTCAGCTCGAGTTGAACCGAATGCGAAACTTTGACCTCACGGCCATTCCGTGTGCCAATCACAAAATGCATCTCTACCTGGGAGCAGCGAAAGTTGAAGTGGGAACAGAAGTGACTGACTACAGGTTCTTCGTGAGGGCCATTATAAGGCATTCCGACCTGGTTACCAAGGTGAGTTTTGTCCCCCCGTGCAAGGTCTCCTTCCCAGACGGTGCGTGGGGCGCTGTCAGTCACTCCAGGAGCCTGCAGGCCAACCCTGCCTGTGTCGAGCGCGGCGGCTGCGTGCCCTCTGCCAGCGCTGGCTCTGCAGAGGGTTGTCTCTGAGGACCTGGTGTTCCTGTGCTTCAAGGAGGTTGTTCTACGGCCCAAGTAGACAGGCAGAAATCCTGGCGTTTTGAGGCGAGGGTTGTTCTTCTGTCTTTCTCCTGCGCTACTGCAGTCATGGTTTGCCCTGCTTTGGCTTTGGGCTGACCTAAAGGAGGGCACAACTCAGCTGGGTACGGGAATCCGGGAGCACCGGCTCAGTGATCTGCTTCAGGGTGGCCCATCCTGCGGAAACTAACGTCACCTGTCTTCTCAGTCGAGTCCTTCTGTAGTTGTTCAAACGCTGTATTCTTGGGGTGTGTTTTTTGAGTAGAAAGTGAATTATTTGTTGACGACATTTGGCAGGAAGCCTCCTTCGAGTATCTGCAAAATGAGGGAGAGCGATTGCTTCTGGAGGCCATGGATGAGCTGGAGGTGGCGTTTAATAATACCAACGTGCGCACGGACTGCAATCACATCTTCTTAAATTTCGTGCCTACCGTCATCATGGACCCATCTAAGGTATGGTCTCTTCCCTAGCCCTGAACTGCGTGTTTTCCTTGGGCTTGACTCACCAGAATTACATGGTCTTCTGCGGCCTTTTGACGCTGTGTAAGTGCACCTAGCGGTTGAGTACCTTCTAGTACTGCTTGGTGAAGGACGTGCAGGTCCTACTAGCCGTTTTGTAAGGGAAAGCACAAGAAATTTGGGGCCCTGTATTAGAAGCGGTAACATGAGGGTCACTTTAGTTACTCTACAAATGCTGAAGTTTTGCTTTTCAGTAAAGAAAGTGGAGGCATGTGACTAATGGAGGCTCTAACTAAAGGTTGCTTGTTGAGCTGCTAAACCAACTTCTCCTCAGAAGCGGAGGGAATACTTCTTATTTTAGCTAGTTAAGGCAAGTCTGTTAGTCTGTTTCACGTTTGGCAGTGAGGAAGGAAAAAAGCTTTGATTTTTAATTTTTTTTTTTCCATTCTTCCAATCTGTGGATAAATATTAAATGTAAGATTTCAGAGCTAGCAGAGCTCATGTTTTTAGTGGAGCAATGCTGTCCTTCAGGCAAGGCAGCTCACTTCCTCTGTGTAAACTAAGGAACAGTTTATTAAAAATACATTTTGTATTTGAAACTAAACTTATTTTTTCGTTGTGTGTTTGAGATAAACAATTTTAATAAGGAAATAGCTTTAAATGCTCTTCTGTTTTTTACAAAAGTCCAAGTTGTAGCCAAATAAAACATGAGATAAATCATGAACTTGAAAAGAATTTCTAAATTCAGCTACGGAAAGAAGTGCCTCCTTTTCATTCTCTGATACAAAACCACAGGTATCAACATTATAAATAAATGAACATTAAGCTTTGTAGGTGCATAAATAAAAGTGTTCGGGCATAAAGCATGTTTCTGGTTAGCAGAACCACCACAAAGAACGTCCCAAGTAAACTGTAAAGGCTGCGTTTAGTTGGAAATCAACATTCTGTTCATGGTTACTGAAAGATGAGAGCTGACCTTTCCTTATGAGAATAACTGAAAGTTTAAAAAGATGAATTGGTTATCAGAGTAAATATCTCTTGCTTGCTGACTTCTAAATAATGATTAAAAATTAGTGGCTTAAATTGCTTTTGAACAAATCTTCTCTCAGCACATCCAAAATCCTTAGTTCCCAGGAAGTTCAGAAGAAGCTGGGACGTTCAGCCCCTGGAAGTTAGGCTGCCCTCAGGTGTGGACTGTGACTTTTCCCTGAGCTGCTGTGGGAAAGACTTTTTGGGTTTTTTTGAGAGAGTGTTAAAAACAGCCTATAAATTGCCTCCTTTTAATATGCGCTATTTGCACACAGTAGTATATTATAAAGTTTAATAGAACACCAGAAGGCCAAGCTCCAAGTAGTAATTGCTTTGCTGATTTAAGGCGCCGTACCGCCTGTGCGGGGAAACAGGATTATTGTGCCTACAAGTGCTAAATAACGGCTTGTCAAGGGTTTCACTTCCCTGCCTTTGGTAGTTCTCGCCTGCGAGCTGTGCCTGCAGGAGCGAGGGCGGGTGGCGGGGTGGCAGCGGGCACGCCGCGCCTTGCTGGGGCGTCGTGTGCCGGGAGGGAAGAGGTTTGTGGCTCCAGCGCTGTCCCTCGACCTCGGTAGCCCTCAGGAGGAGTTCAGCTCCTGCCCATCTCGAGGCTCGTTAGGATGAGAGCGGGCCGGCCGCCGGGGTCCCGTAGCGGCACTGGGCACGTGCTGCTCTTCGGCTCGTCCCTCTCTCCCCTTCTGTGATGTTCCCCCGCCGCGCGCTGGCGTGTCCCGTTGAGCGGGACCTTCCAGCGGCGGGATGGAGTGGCCGCCAAGCGGTGGCTGTGTCCAGAAAGGTGAAGGGAATTCTTCCCTGTGTTTTAAGATTGAAGAATCGGTGCGGAGCATGGTGATGCGCTACGGGAGCCGCCTGTGGAAACTCCGCGTCCTCCAAGCCGAGCTGAAGATCAACATTCGTTTGACGCCGACTGGGAAGGCAATTCCCATTCGCCTCTTCCTGACTAACGAGTCGGGCTACTATTTGGACATCAGCCTGTACAAAGAAGTGACAGACTCCAGAACAGGACAGGTACGGTTCCACAGGGCTCCAGGGTTTGATGAGCAGCTGCCTGGGGGGACGCGTTATCCCTGATGCAGCTCTTCTGTGGTTTGTGGTGGGCTCAGGTGATGTAAAACGGCCGTTCAGCTTTGCCAAAGGAAGAGGAGTGTAAGGATAATCTTGCAATAGGCACGTGGGTGTGCAAACTGTAATCAATTACGTAAAAGTACGTGTCTTCTAATTGTTTTGTATGTACCTTCAGTCGTTTGTGCGTCTGTTTTCCTCTGTGGCAGGGTGCTCAAAAAAAGTAATAGAAAAGTCGTCGCTGTTGGTGCTCATCCTGTGGGTCGTAATAAAACATATTATTAATTATACGTTTCCCTGAGTAGATAGAGAAAATCTGTGAACTTGTCTTTTAAATTCAAAAGATACAGGGAATGACCTGGGTAGGGTGATGTAAAATTATTGGAGGTGCTTTTATATCATTTTTATGAAGCATAAAGGGGCTCTTTCGTAATGGTTGCAGCTATTCTGGTATTTCTGCTTTTCACGGCATAGGAATAGTGTGGTTAACTGAAATACCTGCGTATGCTAAAATACATGGAGCATAGGATGCATGAGAAATATTTAAATACAGAAATGTTTACATCTCCCTCTGTAATAATCTCTCTGCCATGCAGCGGTAGCAGCAGAATAAATCACTCGGGCGCCGTTAATGTTGAACACAAAGTGCTGAGTCACCTTTCCTGACCCTCTTCTCCATTTAAATTTTTCCAGCAAGCTGCCTGGCCGTACAGTCCGTTCGGTTCGGGAGATCCTAGAACAGATAGTGTCCGTAGGGTTTACTTCGTTTCTGCCTTTGAGTGGACAGCAGGAAAGAAAAGAACATTTTAATAGTCTCCAGTAGCTGAGCTTAACACTTGAGTTCTGTTAGTCATTTGTGAAGGTCACCTTTGCTCTTAAGCTCTGTCTCTGAGCTTTATTTTTTTAAAGCTAGGGGAATGCACTTGTGTGTGTATCACTTTTAGCAAATTTTCCGGTATTTGATTTTTTTTTTAATTTCATTTTTTTCGCCAGGATATTAAACCAGGTTCTATTAAAAAATTATAGTGGTGTGAATTACTTCAATTAACTCTTTGGGTAGTTGGGAGGAAGGTTTGTCTTAGAAAGCTTGAAGGTGTTGGTTTTTTAAGAAACTTTGGTAAATCTTCCCCCTCGTGACGGAGGTTTATAGGATAGTTCAGATCTGTATGTTTTTTTTCCTGTGTTTTCAGAGGGTTATTTTGAACTTGGAGAATTCTTTTAAACCAATTCAAACATTACTGATGTACTGGGTGCTGGGCACTTTCATGACTTCTAAAGAATGGAAAAATCAATTCATCATGAGAGAATGACCCAGATCTCTTGTTTCGCAGTTTCTGTGGTAATGAGTGGTGATGCTCAGGACAGACTTCAGCTCCCACAGAACCACCCTGTTCCAGAGATTTAAGGAGAATTGGGCCCCAAGTGCAGTAACAGATCTTAACACAGGCGCTGTCACAAACACTTGTTATCCTGAATAAATATTTCTCCCGTTGAAGAAGCTACTTCACAAAGCAGTGTTTGTGAAGACTGAAGAGAGCATGAGCTACTATGTTTAATCTAAAAACTAGAACAGACTTCACTTACTGAATTTTATCTTTAGTGGAATTCTTCAATTAATTCATCTTCAATTAGAAAAAGTTGTGCTGTTTGTAACATCAGATCTCATCCCCGTTCTGTTAGAAGCAGCCTAATGGTGTTGCTTCTGTCAGGCCTGTTTCTATTACGCAGCGTTGTGCAGCGTTGTCCCGGCGAAGCAGGGCTCCTCCTGTTCCTGCGTTGAAATAGATTTGCTTCCACTCCGGGCTGAGTGGAATATATAGTGCCGTGAAGCATGGCAGCTGATAATTCACGTTGCTACTCTGGGAAAATCTTTTAAACTTATAATATCAAAACTTCAAGCCAAATGACATATGCAAGTCTTGACCTAGCTCCCATGATCAGTCAGTGGAGATACGAATACCGTGCTGCTCGACTCCATAAATAACAAGAGTTCTCCTCTCTGCTCCCAGCTATCGCAATCCATCGGCATAGGTACGGCGTCAGGGGAAATACTGGTGGATGTGAAGTCATCTAAGTCACAGGCTTTTTTTTTTCTGTGGGGATGTGGCTCCGTTCCCTTTGCTTTCTGCTGTGATACGGTAATAAGTCAGTGATACTCAGATCCGTGCAGTAATGGTCCAGCACTGTCTCCAAAGGGTAGTAATGCGTGATGAAGCACAGTGTTGCAGGATATGCGAGTATTAATGTGTTTGTAGAGAACAGCAACAAGCCTGATCAGTCTGGAATATCCTGATGGTTTTTTGGTAAAATATGGATGAGATGGGTGTATGGAACCAGTAATGGGTAAGCAGTAACTGGTCATGTTTTGTGCTGCAGATTATGTTCCAGGCGTATGGGGATAAACAGGGACCACTTCATGGGATGCTGATCAATACCCCGTACGTGACCAAAGACCTGCTGCAGTCCAAGAGATTCCAGGCACAGACTTTAGGGACATCGTATGTCTATGACATTCCCGAGATGTTTCGGCAGGTAAGTGTTCTTAAGGCCCAGGGCGTTGTCCTAAGCTTTGGTACCCGCAGAGCGCTTCTGTCGGTTGCTGTCCTTGCTTGTCAGGGAAACAGGTGGCCTGGAGCGGCTAACAGCGGCCCCGCAGGGTCTGTACAGCTGTGGATTGAGCCTACTTTGAATGAAATCAGGACTCTTAACACACTGCTGCTGTAGTTCCATCAATAAGTCAAATGGTAGAAGCTGAAATGTAAAACCATCCTCCATTCCTTGTTTATGTCTTTTTGTTTTCCCATCCTGTTATCTAGCCTTCCTAGAGGGTTAGACAGTGCAGGGGTGATAGTTCCTAGGACAGGACTCATACATCACTGAATGTGTTATTGAGTTGCAGAATTTATGGTGTATCTGATTTGCTGGGTTCTGTCCTGAATCACATAATTTGAATTACACTACTTTGGGTGGAACTGTATTTCATGGTTTAAATTCCAAAGTAAGTGATATCCGCTGAATATTGCCAGCCAAACGGGGGGGAGGGATATTTCAGAGTGTTCCGTCTTGATTATTAAGTCACAGTGGATTGAATAAAAATATTTGCAGATGATGTTCTTAACAAGAATTTATCTTTTCATCCTCCAGTCTTTGATTAAACTCTGGGATTCTGTGAATGAACACGCGTTCCTGCCAACGCCGCCGCTGCCTTCTGACATCCTAACGTACACTGAGCTGGTGCTGGATGATCAGGGCCAGCTCGTGCACATGAACAGGCTGCCAGGAGGAAATGAGGCAAGTTGCACTTTCTTTAACACTACTTTTCTTTCCATGCCCTGCAGTACGGTGGGTTTTGGACTAGGTTTGACAATTGTGATGAAAATTTACCAGCCAGGCACAAAATCTATTCATTCAGTCTTTCACAGATGAAATCTCTCTCTTGAAAATGAGATTTTTGTTTCATTAAAAATTAATACCTTCCATAGAATGGGTATTTTAACCTCTGTAGTAAACGATGATTCTATTTCAAACCTGTGCTTATGCTGTTTTTCCTTCATAATTAAGAAGTGCTCGTTCAGCTATTCCAAGTAACTGGGGTTTGTGTTTGAGCAAAATATGTTTTACAAGACTAAATAGAAATGTTTAAATTTGCTTAAAAAGAAATGGAAAACCAATTTTATGCTTTCCATTTAAATACGCGCAGTGTTTGTGTAGCGCTGGCAAGGTGTGAGCAACATCCCCCTCTAGTGAATGATTTCCTTGAGACGAACAACTGCGGATGCTGCCGGGGGTAAGGGAGTTACTCCTTCGGCTGGAGCAGGAGGCGGCCGTACTGTTGTGGTGGGCTTTGGCTGGGATGTCATTACCTTAGCAAGCCAAAGATTGCGGCGTTGAAATGACCAGAGAATAAAGCTAACTGGTAGAAGAGGCGGTTATTTTTTTTTTTTGCCTAGGGTAGGTGGGATTCAGTAAGGGCGTGTTCCTCCAGTGATATAAATCTGAACGGTTCTAAGTGGCGGAATCATTTCTCTTTTCCTTGGCGTCGTTGAACTAGCACCGTCCTTTTGCTGGATCTATAACTTCAGATTTGCAAAAGCTCTGTTCAAAACCATCAAGTCCAGTGATGAAAGGAAATGGGGGTTTTCCTCACTATTTACCGCATGTGTCTTGTCAGGGGAAGGTTTTGAATATGATGTTTTCCAACTGAACCGAATCAGTAAATGGTGACTATGGGAGCGCGATGTCCTTGTCTTTTGCTGGCCTATAAGAGAAATGTTTTAACAAGTATAATTAAACCTGGAATGAGCTATTCCCTGCGTTCTTAGTGAAAGCTGGGGCTGCGGTTCTGTGGAGGCTTATGCCATCATCTTTCTCTCTTTCTCCGCTCTCATTCAGCGTTTGAGTGGATGGTGGCTGGGGAAACAGCAAAGTCCCTCAGGGACGTAGCTCTGTTCTTGCTAAAATTACAAGCACAGAGCTGCCTGGGCATGAACATGTAGTGTTTACTCTGCCAGTATGAATACAAATAGTCTTATTATAAGAGATTCTGTACCCAAAGACCACCAAAAAAAAAAAAAAAAATTAGGAGGTTTTTTTTTAACCCTTGGTAGGCTTAGTTGTGCTCAATCTGTAAAGAAATTACATGGCCGTTGTGGTGTGCGTGGTGGTTCCGGCCCTGCCGAGCGGGTGAGTCACTGGAAAGTGAGAGAAACAAGGGGAAAACGTGATGTTCCCCCCACGTTTTTTTCAGTCTGGCTGCTGAAGGTCGCTTCTCGTGGAGGGACATGGCAGACTCTAACCTGCCTTCTGACAACTCCTCTGGCTGCAGAGACGAAAGCCCAGCCCGGGGTTCGGCGCGCGGGCAGGCCGTGCCTCCCCAGAGGGGCGTGCGGCTCGGAGCGCCCAACTGTCAGCCTGCGCTGGGCAGCTGGACGAGCCGCTGCAGGACCGTTGGCAGCTGGCTCCGGTATTGAATTCCGTTACCTGTAGCCGCCGCACACAATAGCGCTCATTCACGGGTGGGAGCGGGCAATCTGAGGAAGAGGTGCCAGCAGCAGCCTGAAGGACAGGTGACATTCAGGAGGTGACGAGCTGCCCAACAGATTCATTCCTCCGTGCTGCACCTCTCTTTATCTGGATGAGCTGACTTGAGGCTTTTATGGTTTAATTCCGCTCAGCTGAGGAAACAAATTTTCGCAAACGGGCGCTCTGGTTTCTCTTTCCAAAGAAGATGGCTGCAGGGGTGGAGAAGGCAGAGACAGGATGCTAGATAAATTCAGAGCATAAGCCTTTTCTTTGTTAAGGCTGTAAGTGGATCCATTCTGCTTTTTTTTGAGAGTCAGTCTGCATAGCATCTGGGCAGAGAAATACGGCATCTTATCTGCCAGGAAGCAAAGATCCTTGGGGTAATCCATCTATGTGGCAGTAGCTGGTAGAATTGCATAGGAAGAGGAGACATGCCACGAGGAGCAGGAGAAAATATTAATTGATTCTGCAGTTCTTCCACGGGATACAATGGGGAACCGTTCTCAGGACATGGCACATTTCCTTGGCTCTTTAAACTTGTCTGAATTTGTTAAGGAAGAGTTTTGTCTTCAGATAGATGTATTTGGCTGCCAAATGCCAGAAGCCCATACACACTGAAAATCGTGTTCCAGGGAAATGATCCCTAGGGAAATGAGTGCAGTGGGAAGTCGGGGTTCCCAGGCTTTGCAGTGGCTTGCTTGGTAGCCTTAGTCAAAGTTTTCACTGCTTCACTTTGTTCATATCCCAGTAAGATGGGACTGCTCTGGGGTGTTATGAGGATAATTTATAAATTATTAAAACAAATATGTTTTAAGAGTCCTTGAATTTGTACTTGCTAAGTAAGTGCTGGATATTGTGTTGTACGGCGTTCCCCAGTTTTGTTTAGTAGCCCTGGGTGGTCAGTGCCAATGGAGTCTGTGCCCCAGTGATCCAGAGGCGTGAGCTGTTTGCAGTTCAGACCCCAATGAGCTGACAGGCGGGAGTGCTTGGGAGGAAATTTCCAAGTAAATGTGATTTATTTATTTATTTTCCCCCCCTTTCTTCCCAGCAAGATTGCTGACTTTCTAAATCCAAAGTCTGTTGAGAGATTGTACATTATGTGTGGTGGTTTTTTGTTTTTTTTTTTTTTTACTGAAGACGAAATTTCTGTTGAAAACTTCTGACTGTGGTAAATATAGCTGCTGGTTAGTGCATTTAGGTTCTATTACTGTTGTGCTTGTTTTAGCTGAGAGGCTCAAACACAGCTATTCCCCCATTGCGAGTGCCTTACCATCGTGGTATCAGCTGTTCTGAGGTAGGGCTTGTCTGTGCTACACAGTATGAACAATTACATTTTCTCTATGTGAAAAGGGGTCAAGACACTCTTCCTCTTAAAGCTTTCAGCTGAGCTGACTGCCCTAATTGTTGCAGCTAGCAGGCGAAATGGAGAAACCAGCATAAAATCCAGGAGATCTGTGATCAGTGTGTTCAGCTGGATGTCAACAACCGAAGTTGCAATCCCTTCCCTAATGTGGGGCAGAGCAGGAGCTCGAAGCTGAGTTTCTCCTGTCCTCCCAACGTTTGCCAGCAGCCTTCTGGGCTAACCTGTCGATGTTTTCAGGAAGATCTGTGAAACGGGAAGTCTCGAGAACTTTCGCAATACAAGAGGTTTTTCTCTGCTTAGCTTGCGACCACTTGGCGTAGCCCACCAACTCATTTGGCAGTAATTATCTGTTTGCTAGTACCTTCAACAAAGAAGCCAAGGACTTAATGGACCATGAAAATACAACTTGCTATTTATTCCTAGGCAGTGCTTGCCTCCTCCTGAGCAGAGGATCCTGGCTCGTCATGGCCACGCGGGGGAGCTTGCAGTGCTGCTGGCCCTGCCGCCGACTCTTGCGGCACAGGAGACATCACTGGTGCAGGGCCTTTCTCCAACCTCTTGTCCGCTCAGGGCAGCCAGAATTCTTCCTGAGGCGCATCTGCTGTTTCTTTGGGCTGCAGGCAGAGTGCTGGATGTGGCCTGGAGCTTTCTGCTGGATGGTTTCTGTTCTGGATTCTTCATGTTAAGCTTGTGAACTGTGTCCTGGTCTTTAGTTGCTTTTTTTTTTTAATTTGGTGGGGAGTTTTTTTGTTTGTTTTCTGTGTCCTCTGTTACTAGTCTGGCTTCTTTGACACCTGCATTCGCACATGAGACTGTTCCGATAAGCTCTCTCTGCCACCATAGGATTTCAGCAAGCCAGCGCCCTTGACAAGACTGAATGTGCCCCACTAAAAAGTTGAGGACAGTTTGTAAATGATTCTCAGAGCCAGCAGGTATGGAAGGGAGCTGAAGAAGAAAGTATTTTATCAGCAGAATCAAACACCAGTCAATAGCTCCCTCCTAATGCTCCTGAGTAAAGACTGAATAGACTTTGGGACAAATGGGGTATAATTTATTGTACAACTGGGAGCCTGTCAAGAGCTGAGCACCAGAGGTGGATGCTCAGCCTGACTCCAGTCTGACTCTTAAGACAGACATGGACCATTGCAGTGTACAGAGTTTATATAGGTGGGAGGAAAAAACCCACTTGTAGTTGTTTGTGATCTTAGGCATTTTACTCTAAAATGGTTTTAAGCAGAAAATTTTAAGTTCATACCACAGCCTGGATGCTTATCTAGATGATAACACAAGACTTTGAACATTTCTGCTAATGCAATTTTTTTTCTTTTAAGTAAGTGGAAGCCTTTTTTTTTTTTTAGTGGCATAATCTTTGTTGTTTCTGGCTAAGATCTTCACTGGGCATGTGGGGTAGAGGTGCGTGACTGGGACTTTCTGCACTAATACTGGGAGGGATGGGTTTGAAAGGATGCAGCACCTCGCCCTGTTTGACGGTGGGAGAGGAGCTGCTGGCCGCGCTCCGGGAGCTCACCTCTGCCCTGCCTGTCACCGAAGCCTCTGATGTCGCTTTGGAGTTACGGGGCTGTGCTAAGATGGGGGAATCTCTGAAAGAGTCAGGAATCGTGTGAACACAGACAAGTGAACAGGGCTGGGGTTCAGAAGTGTATGGCAGCTTGCACAGCAGTTAAAAACGTGTTGGTTGCTGTAGCTCTGCTGAAGACACGACCTGTAATGGAGTGACACCCTCTTCAAATGCCCGTTGAAGAGGGCTTTGTTCCAAAGATTAGCATATTAGCTGAAATCTGAGTGTGAAAAGGTAATTCCCTCAGCCCGTTGGAGAGCTCAATATATGACTTGTCATTCTTGAGCTGGGCGTGCTGATGTTTTTCTATAGCACTTTATGTATTTT